GGCTCTGATTGGTGCTGCCCAAAACAAGGACATGGGAGTAAAATCTAAACACCTCATGTAAATACAGCCTACTGCCCCCAGACACCATACAAGATATTTTCAGGTCGCTAGGTAGTATTAAGAGATACACTAAATCCCAAAAAATATTTTCATTGATAGTCAACCTATTGCTCACACCATGGAATGGGTGCACATGCACACAAAGAACATGTATAATTAAACAGAGTCCCGTACTTCAAACAGGATTCAACATCTTTCTTACACAGGAAAAAGACAGTCTATCTTCTCTGAAGTTATAGCCCATCCTCTTGGAGCACACGAAAGAACGGACAAAACACAGTTCATTGGTTTAGGAGTGGAAAGCGTTTTTAAGCCGCCCCCATATCAAAAAGATCACTGCTGTTTCTTGCCCTTCTTTTACAGACCCCGCTAGCACACACGGGGCTCGTTTTTCAGACTGACTCACGCATGCACTGAAGGGCAACTAAAATGATTAGGGGTTTGGAACGGGTCCCATATGAAGAGAGGTTAAAGCGACTGGGACTTTTCAGTTTAGAAAAGAGGAGACTGAGGGGGAATATGATAGACATGTAAAATCATGAGTGGTGTGGAGAGGGTGAATAAAGAAAAGTGATTTATTTGTTCCCATAATATAAGAACTAGAGATCACCAAATGAAATTAATGGGTAGCAGGTTTAAATCTAATAAAAGAAAGTTCTTCACACTGTGCACAGTCAACCTGTGGAACTCCTTGCCAGAGGAGACTGTGAAGGCTGGGACTATAACAGGGTTTAAAAAAGAGCCAGATAAATTCACTGAGGTTAGGTCCATAAAAGGCTATTAGCCAGAGGGTGAGGAATGGTGTCCCTGGCCTCTGTTTGTCAAAGGCTGGAGAGGGATGGCAGGAGACAAATTGTTTGATCATTGTCTTTGGTCCACCCCCTCCAGGACACCTGGTGCTGGCCACTGTCGGCAGACAGGCTACTGAGCTAGATGGACCTTTGGTCTGACTCAATATGGCCATTCTTATGTTCTTATTATGTAAGCTCTGCAACATAGGTTACTACGTAATTTTATCAAACTGCAACTTTCAGTCTTCTCAAGCGTTCATGGAGGGTGACACTGGTGTGGAATCGGAAGTCAGCATTCTAAGGTGGAATATAGGCGCCAATCCAGCAAACTCTCATAGAATCCTAGCGTAGGAAGGGACCTCGGGAGGCCATCGAGTCCAGCCCCCTGTCCAAAGCAGGACGAACCCCAACTAAGTCATCCCAGCGAGGGCCTTGTCAAGCTGGGACTTACCAACCTCTAGGGACGGAGGTGCTTAATTTTCGGCCTGAGAGTAGCTTGAGTGTTTGCAGGATTGGGCACCCTGATGACAGCAGGCTCACATTGAGTAGGCCGACGTTACTGTAGGACTGCTGTGTCCGTGCTTGGCCTGTTGTGAAGATGTGTGCTTGGGTAACGTTAAGTTGCTCTCCAACCCGCTAGATCTTTCTCAAGACTCTCAGGGTATTCTTTCAACGCTGGGTTACCCCAGCTCTCACCTGGGGGTTGCCCTCACAAAAGTCACCAGCCCAAGTCTGGTGGGTTTTTCAACCCAGGTTAGCCCTGGGGTCCAGCGTGATGCCCAAGTGCTGCTGGATAATCCCCCGCTCCGTGTCTAGCAGGACAGACGAGTTCTCCCACAATTACCTGGGAAAGATGCAGAGAGCGGAGTAGCTTATTGCAGCCCCAAACCCGCCGATGGAGGGAGCAAAGGGAGCTAGTGTCCAGGGCTCCCAGCTGCCAACCGACCACTACTGTGGCAGTGTCCAAAGCCCCAAGCTCTATAAATCACCACTAGGGTGCTCCGGGAAGCTCTAAGGGCTGGAAGGGAGAGCATGGCATGCTCTCGCTGGTGCAGCAGGCTGGCTGCCCTAGCCCCACCCCTTCCACCTAAGGCCACGCCCCTTCCAGGAGCACAGCTCCCCGCCCACCTTACCTAGGGGCCCAGCATGGCTGTCAAGCTCCCCTGTGCTGCGCTGACAACCAGAGGAGAGATCCCAGATGTCCTGGACCCGGACAGAGAAGCGCAGCCGTAAAGATACTCCAGGAGGTTGGGCTTTGTTTGCGGGATGGCTGCTCATGCCAGGAAGGCTAATCTAACTGCTCAGACTGAAGTCGACTCTGCTGCGCACACATAACCTTGCTGATCGCAGTAGAGGGAGCACAGCGCTCACTATATGCCCTGGTCCACAGTCCCTAATTAAATATTAAATGCAGTCTGTTCCGCAGAATGAACTTGACCCCCTTGAGGGGAGTTAGCAACGTTTTCTGTTTAGGACTATACAGCTGCACATTTTGTCTCTAGAACACACCAACACACTACATATTTGATTTCAGTTGTGTAAATTATTCAAGGATCCAGTAAGTGGCTTCAGACTTCATGATCCCCGGCCACCTGGGAGAAACGCGGCTATTAAATAACCCATCCCCACTTCACTCTTTTCCCCGAAGAAGATGCCGCTCACAGTAATCTGACGGACGCTCAGAAAGCCCCTAATTCTCTCCACACAATCATGGGTTTGCATGTTCCGGGAAGAGACATCGTCATCAAAACAATGACAAGCAACCCTAGCGTTGTCCAACGATGCAGAAAAGTGGGAAAATGCAAGAAATAGACATCATCATCAAAACAATGACAAGTAACCCTAGCGCTGTCCAACGATGCAGAAAAGTGGGAAAATGCAGCCTGCTTGCTGCTTATTTCTGAAAGCACATGCTCCCTCGGAGTCCAGCGGCTTAGCACTGGGTCATTACCATCTCATTACACTGGGTAGGAATGTGGGACGGGCACATTTCACGTGCCGACTGGTTTTCCCAATTCACTGGCCAGACGCGTGTACATTATGCTTGGTGTAAATTGAAAATTAGAACCATTTACCTGCCGTTTTTTCTTGCCTCTAGAAAGCCTAGACAGAGGAGACACGCTGCCCTCAATCAGGAAAGATACATGCATATTTTTCCATTCCTCATTTTGATCATTCGCACAAATGTTTTTCCCGCTTTTTAAATAACAGCTGCCCAGGGGCCTCTCCCAGAAAAGAGAATACGTTCTCAGCAATGGAAATAGTGTGTCTTGCTTCCAAAACCATGTTGGGGTTTAATGTCAAAACCTTCATTTGTTTTAAAAGAAAACTAGGTTGAAAATAACCATTTTCACCCATCCGCATCCTGCTCCCAGTGCAATCCAGAAGCCTAGGAGAGAAGCTACAGAATCTCTTTTGTTGCAGCACTGCGGAAAATTGTATTTCAGCGCTATGCACCCCGTAACCTTCCTAGCGACCTGGGGATTTTCTTATTTCCCATCCCACCCCCACTCCTTGATAGATACTCACAGAAAGCAATCAAAGCAATATCAACTGTAAGGTCAACACGGAAAATTGGAAGGAAGTGCATTGTTTCTAGTTGCCATCGTTTGGTTGTCAGAATTTTCTTAATCAACCCAAACAGCTTCTTGGAGACATCTAATCGGATTTTACCGAGTGCTAAACCAGAATCATATTTTGACTCTTCTTTGATTCCAAGTATACAAAAACCCCTTTATCTAATACTCAGGCATCTAATCTAACTATAGCTGTGTTTGCATTTGCATGATGGGGGACTGAAAGACGGCCAGAGAACCATCTTGGATTTTATCTATGTTATTACTCCAATGGAGAATATAACAGATTTTTTTTTCTCACGAGCATGGCTTAAAACGGCTTTTAAGCTTCACTGGCTCCTTTAGAGTTGAACTTTGCTAACAAGAGTGTGAGGGGAACGGTCCAGTGCGAGGAAGCATGGATCAAGAGCAGCATGCTTTTCTAATGTTCCTTTAACCAGCCTCATAGAATCACAGAATACTAGGACTGGAAGGGACCTTGAGAGGTTATTAATTTCTTGGATTGCACTTAAATTAAAAAAGTGATCTTGTGCTTAGAAAGGTGGGAGATCACTGTTCTGCAGTACTTGGCTGAACTGCGCTGGATTGTTGATGAATGATGAAACCTAACTTTATATTTGAAGCAGTCTGGAATGTAGTAATTTCTTCCAGTTAAAACATCATATTTGGAAACCTGACATGGCACAACGTAGCAGCCTCAGCTTGGGTCATGCAGCAAGTCAAAATACTGATTCAAAATTTACAC